AATGTCTATCAGCAACTTGTTTTCTCGAGTACTACTCCATTCTGTAGGTAATTAGAATAGAAGTACAACAACGAAAATAATTGGATACCTCAAGTTCTACTAGTTACAAAATTTAACCAGAAATTGCAAAAATTAAAATTATTAAAACAATTTTAACAATGAAATCTTAAACATTGTTTAATAATATTCATGATTATTTTTTTTATGATTACATCAAGTACTCCATTTTTATATTTTTACAGCCAAAAATTCATTTAAATTAATAATTATTAAATACTAATATACAAAACATGAATAGAATAAATGATAGTTATTTCTTATATATTTTTTGATTGTTATGAGTTTATTCGAAATTTCTTTTCGAATTTTATAATATAAAAAAAAGTGTTTATTTTGGTTCATTTAAAAATTGACTTAAAAAAAAAAAATGCTTTTTCGAGTATTTTTGGTGTTACGATTGTTTACATTGTGGGAAATAATTCTCAATGTTTCACGTTATTTTACCCTGAAACGTTATATTAATTTAATTAATCACACTACAAAACATTTGTTCGATAAACAACTCACGCGTTACTAAACTAATAGTAATTCAATTGGTATTTTTCTTGTATACCTATAAAATATTGGCTTCCGATCAAATTAACTCTTTATTTGAAGCTTCAAAAACATGTACCTAATGTGCAAATTAAAACAATAATGATAAATTATTAAGTTAAAAAAGACTGCTGTTGATATTTATATTATTTTGAAATAATTGATTAAGAATTATGCAATTTATAATTTTGTCATTATTATAAATAAATATGTACTAAAAAAACGTTATAATATGATTTTTTCTTGGACTTTGTCTCATGGTAAGTGCAGCTGTACTTATCCACTAGTAAATAAATTAAAACAAACCTTTTTAAAATATTTCTTATACAAATATAGTTAATATTTTTAGAAAATTACGACCTTACTACATCATTTTTCAAATGACTGTTATTTTTAACTTTTGTTTACTATATTTTTAAAAGTATAATTAAATTAGTAGAAAATATCGATATTAATTATAACAGTCAATGATTTTGTAAATGTTTATTTTTATATTAAAATAACTTGATATTTCTCTTTCAATTGTTTATTGAAACAACATTAAAAAAAAAGTTTTATTGTATAAACTCATATTTTTTTTAATAATACAAAATATTTTTTTTTCGTGATCAATTTTTTATATCCTCTTAACCAATATTTTTGTTTAATACAAAAAAATTGTCAACTGTACAATAATAATAAATTTGTTGACTTTATTAGAGTTTTTTATTTATATAGACTATATTTCTAAATACAGAACGCCAAAAAAAAAAGAATTAAAGAATTGAAGTGATATCATAATAAATTTAAGTGATATGTAGAGATAAGCATTATAGAAACACAAAATTAACGATATATAAAATTTCCCGTTTTTTTAATCGTAATGAGTATTACTCACAACGATCCTAAGAAAAATAACATTATATTATAAATTAATTGGTGTATGAGATTACTTATAAGTTCTTGATTTTTGTTATATTTTCAATTAAATAACGTAAATTTATATTACATTATACATAGCTTAATTAATTTTCTTTCACTAAATATTTGTTTATGAAAAGTTAGTCAAAGATTTCTTCATTTTTTATTTCTATTTTTTATAGCTTTCAACACATAATATTATTATAGTTGGATAATTATATTAATAAATATTTTTTTAAGAATGGTTAGTAGAAATATAGCTAGAAGTTTTGTGGATATTTGAGAATTGATTCCGAAATTGTGAATGAAGAAGAACTATATTTTACTAAAAAAACAGTCTAAGGTAGGAATTTTTCTTTACTATCAAATCATTTGATGTTAGTTAGTTGGCACCCATTTAAAAATATTGTTCTTGTAAAATTAACTGTGCTGTTAATATTTTACTTATATGTATTAATATTGCCTATATTTCACGCCGTCTTAAAAATAATATTTCTGCTATTCATTAATAAATGCAAAATGATATGTTTATCATAACACTCTCAATTACTTTCAATATAACAATAATTTCGTAAATATTTTTTTGCCTTTTTTTAGTTACATATAATTCTTGATATATCAATTATTAAGAACTTTTACGGTTTATGCCTTATACAATATAAAGGAATCATTATTGAAATGATAAAATATAAAATAAAAGAGCTTATGAAACACAAAATGATCTAACTGATATAATAACTGACGAGTCTATAACAACTTTTGAACCATTAATTAAGGAGTTATGAATATTTCTATACCTGGGTGGAAGGAGTATGCCGGAGAAATCTCTAACGATGATCTAAATAATAAGTTATTTCGAACACACCTTTAACCAATAAAAATGATAATTAACTAAATTGAAAAATTAGTTATGTGTAGTTACTGAGGTTAGTTTTGAAGTAGTATTAAGAATTAATCCTTCTAAAATGAAATATATTTTTATACTACTATTTAACACTACACAACTTCTCAAAAAATGGGGATCCTTCAAAGTAGCTCAATCAAAATACATAAATGCATATAATTCATCATGTAAGAAAATAGACATTAAATAATATATTCATATTACATTGATAATATAATATGAATGATCTTATTAATAATAAAAATAGTTAAACCCGCGCTTCACCTCAATTTAATATTTTAAAATCCCAATAATTCCCAAACACTGGTTCAAAAAATGTTATCGACTAGTTATTTTCTTGATAATTTTATATTTTATTAACTAGTTAAATATATATGTCGTCATTCAAAATAATTAGATTGATACCTTTATGCTGATAAGGGATAAACTAAAATAGTACTTAATAATTGATATATCAAGAATTAAATGTAACTAAAAAAATTTGAAAAAAATATTTACGAAATTATTTTTATTTTGTAAGTCATTGAGTTAGTTGTAATTTTAAAATCGACCATTTAAATGATTTAGAATATTAAAGTTTTATATATATATATATATTCAATATATCTTCCAAAGGAGAAAAAAGTGAAACCAATAGAGTTTACGATACAAATAAAAGTTATTGTGAAGAGATACAGGTATTCTGGAATGGACATATTTGGTGAGTAACAATATAATAATAAAACACTGCAAAAGAAACATTTATTAGCATCTCACCACAAGTGAGCATACAATGGAATACCTCGTCGCCTATCTTAACATTTTTCACTTTCTTCAAAACAAAAAAAGAAAAGATATAAAAAATATCTTGCGGTCGACGTTTTAACTGGTCTGTAACATATTTTTCGCGGGTTCAATATATTGCTTTTTAGAGATCGCGAAAAAAGAAGAAGACAAAGTAAGCACCATAAATCTTAGGAGGATAAAAATTTACGCCGTCTGATTTCATGACATGACCTCGATAAGAATTTTACGCTATCACATACATATATTTTTACTATTTTCATATAAATAACAATAATAACAATAATAAAAGCGAAATAAAGTGTTAAAACGAGAATAAAACGGTACACAATACAACAAAAATCATAGTAGGAGACAAGGTCCATAAAAATGAAAAATGTGTGTGAGCCTTATAATTTGATGCGAGTTTTCAAAAGAACGGAAAATTATTGAAATAACTTAACTATAGTTATGATAATCTATGGCGCAATGTTTGCTGAGTTAATATAAGGAATCTTCTAGTTTAAGCACAATACTTTTGTTTGCAAAAAATAACAAAGATTGTATTTCATTTTCAAAGTATAAATAAAGATAACATCTTAAATAATTAACTAAATGAATAAAACAAACCTTAGAGGTAAAGAAAAAATCAAAAGTAAAGTATGAGTTTTGTTGATCATTTATTTGAAGTACAACACTTTTCAATTCTGTCCAAAGAAAGTAATTTTGTTTTCTTGGCGTGGTTTTCTTTACTTAAGATTCTTAAATAAGAAGGAGGCAAAAAAAAAGCCATCGATGTTTTTGTGTAAAAAAAATAATCTTAAGTGGTCATTTTTCATTTAAGTAACAAAAACCGTAAAAAAAGGTTTCTTTAAAAACTCAGGTCGAGTTAAAAAGTGAATGTTATTAAAACTAGAACAATAACATAGCCACCTTAACGGAAACCTGAACAAATTGATTTTAAAAGCATAAAATATTACCAGGATACCCTAATCGTTATCCTAAATATTAACATTTTTTTGCTTAGCTTTCTATAAAGTTAGTGTACAAAATCTCAAGAATTTCATGTATTTATGTTTGTTGTAGTCGTAAGTTAAAAATGTTATTTAAGCATGTACAAGGCCAAAAAACATCAAGTTTAAGTATAATGTAACTATAGTGTGTTCTTGTTTTTGACATCAATAGTCTTCTTATAAAAACCCGTGTACATGACGTTGTATAATTTTCAAATATAATAATTATTTATGTACAATTGAGATTTTTTTTGATGGAATTTCAAGAATGGTAGATTCCCTTCTAATAAAACTATTGTACGTCACTATTTTTTTTTATGAAAGTCTCACCATTACTCTAACATTATAATAGATTTTGATAATAACCTAAATGAATTATTAATTTACAACCTAAATTAATGATAACAAAATATTATTTTTATTAATTTATAAAAGATGTTTTTAAAAGATAATTTAACTAAACCGATAAAAAAGTCAAGATATAACAATTATATCACTATTAAAATCATCATCACCTTAGTCTCTATTAAAACTATTTGGGGTCAGCTCTACCTTAGGACTTGACAGGAGTTTTACACCGGCTGTAAACCTGACACAATCTTATTATGGCTGAAAGACCTAGTAAGGTTGCAAGGTGTGTGTCACTGTTAAAGTTCCCTGTATGGTTACCCATCCGGGAGCCAACAGAAAACAGGACAGTTGAATATCAGCTGTAAAGCAGACTGATTGAACACCACGCCCATTTAACTTAATCGCTTTTAATGTGTGCACAACAATTTAAAATTTTGTGTATCTATTTTAAAAGTAATATTTCTTTATATTCTTACCTTGCAATGCTACTGTTTTTGGTGACCAGTTTAAAATATCTGTAAAGCACAATACACAATTAGTAAATAATGAAAAAGAAAACTTTATTATTGTATTTTAAACATTTATGGAAACTTTGTTCGTACAACTATAGTATACTACACATATTGATATTAAATGTTCAAATTAAATCACATACAGGAAATTATACCATATTAATGACGTGAACACAAAATTAATCTCACGTACTAGTTTTATTTGTCTAAGGAACGCAGCTTGGAGAGATCTGTTAGTGACACGAGCGAATGACATAGTTTAATTAAAAAATTCCATCAGTCGTTAAATATTTTGCGTTTGTAGTGCCAATATGTGGAACTATCTCCTTTTTAAAACACAGAAAAAAAAATTTTATGAAGTAACAATGTGTTCAACAAAAGACATTTCAGAGAGTACATGTTTCTGGCATGTAATTTTCTCTCTAGAAAGCGTTATTGTAACATTCGAACACTGTATTGAAAAGGTTTGGATAGTAATTAATAAATAAATATTCATTTATAGACTTTCTATACGAATGAAATTATCCGAGAACAGTAACTCAACAAATTAGAAAATTAATAGTGATTATTCTTTTTACATCTCAACAAAAGCGTACAATTTGAATGAATAAATTGAAAATAAGATAAAAATAATAATGGCCTAAATTAAATACTTGTCAGAAAGACTAAATTAAATTCTCTGAGAGTTATTTAGGGTTTCAGTAATTTGCTAAATGTTTATTTATATCCTTTATTAAATGTTGAAGTTCAATGAATTTCCCTTTCAAAATAAAAATGTTATGTGTAAATATTAATGTTGATTTTATTTTAAAACAAACACACTCAAATAAAAGTTCAATAATTTTAAATAACATGGCATTGTTATTTTTAACGTTGTTATAAATGAACACTTAAAAAATACTATATTTCAGATATTAATCTGAAATTTTACGGATAAAGCTATAAGTGTATTATTCGCTGCAATTTATAACTTCAATAATCGATAATATGTTCAAATAAATCAAGTAAAAGAAGACTATAAGCATAGTAAAATAAAAAAATAATTTTAACAATATTTCAAACCGGATGTAATTTTATTTTTTTTTTTGTCCATAAATTATACTATTTTTACAAATGACTCATATATAGTTTCACTAATATAATATGATTGCCATTATTACGAACACTAGAGAAATATTTTCTTGCGTTTCCTGTAGCAAAACTAAGATTGACTCTTATTATGTGTAAATATTTATTTTAGGATCGATTGATTTTTTCAGTATAATACATTTACTATATTTTTGTATACTTTTCCATATTTTTTTATTATACAACATTCGTGTGATTTATTTCAATTTATACGTTATATGAACTGGGATACATTTATGGCCGTAAGTTATATGACTGATATAGTTACAAAGAAAATTGTTTTCGTTAAAAGTACTTAACTAACTTATTTTAATTTACTCCTAAAATTTTAGTTAGATGGGTGTCTATTTTGTTATTAAGGTAATATGTCACAAAGGTAAAATGGTGTATTTTTGTTTTAATTGCATTTTTAGGTCGAATACATAAATGACGTGTATGGCTCAGAAATGTAATTAAAAATATTACACGAAAGAAAAAACTGTTGCATATTAACATGCGCCTATCCATATGTTTTAATGCGTGTTTACCTTAATATAAAAAAATCAATTAATAAATTGTTTCCAATGTTCTTTGTATCCAGATGTCGACATTAAAGTAAATTGTACATGTTTATAATTTTATTCTGAAGTAATTAATTTGGTTTTGTTTTTAGAATATTCAATTAATGGAAAAAGTAAACTTATAGAATATTTTAATTTTTATATTAATTAGAAAAAAATCTAAAACAAAACTATAATAAATGAGTTGTTGAGATATCGATGATTTTTCTTAATAAAGAAAATTTCGTATTTTCTATTTTGTTACAAGTATATAACTTTGCTATAGTTATAGCAGTTACTTTTCATCGATTATTTTCCAGGGCAAAAAAATTCACCAGCGTCTTTTGCGGAAGGTCATTTTTGTGTTAACCTTTAAGTCAAATACTCGTAATTTATAACGATCGTTCCGTTGGTATTTTCGACCAAAAGTATTATTGTTGGGTAAGTATTGTTTTCCGAATAATGTAAGAGCTACTCTAAAGTGGTAAACTGTATACGGAACAGTTTTAAATATCGTGCTTGTATCGCCTATAAATATAATAGTTGAAACAGAAAAGTATTTATCCGGAAAGTAAAGCTACCAGAATAAATGCAGTATAGAGAAAGAAGATGATAGGGGCTTTATGACCAAAAGCCGGTACGATTACTTGAAGTTTTCTGCGTTACCCCGAGCAATAACGTTAAATGGGTTCCTGGAGGATTTACTTATCGGCGTGTCATGGGGATGACCGATTGACAATGTAATTTCTCCTTTGACCGAAAACAAGTATCTGGATGTACTTTTATTTTAAGAAAAACTCTATCACGTATCCCTGACCTTAGCTTTACAAGTAATACTTGGGTTGAATTCTTAAAAAATCGGTGTCTCCTATTAAACGCTACGTAACTTATACAGGAATTTCAATATTTATCTAATATACGTTTCACAAAGGGTGGTCATTTAATTTAAAGTTAATTAATTAAAACGAGCTAATGTTAAGTACATTCAATATATACGCGTCAATAAATATTTACTTTGATGTTGTTTTGAAGTAAATAATAATTAGTTTTACTTAATTAAATGCTTGGACACTTACTTTATGAATGAATAGTGATCAATGTTTGGAATGATGCGCAGAAACTTGATTAAGACAAGTTGTATTTTGTTATTATTTCGTAAATAACAGAACAACACGGAGATAGAAGTTGATTTAGGTTTCAGTGCCAAAGTGTTTTATTACGGTGAAAGCTGTGTAGTGGAAAAACTTGGAGTCCGGTAAAAAGTCGCATTCTTAATTATTTATGGTTGTATAAAACATTTGTTTGAGAAATAAAACTTAATATTTTTTATTCTGCAGAAACCTTTAGTCGTAAAATTCGTGAAACTTCTGTAGTTTCATAAGCTTAAAAAGTGAATTATGAACAAGGAGATGTTGATGTTGAAAATTCACTTTGTGTTTTTATTTGTAGTTCAAAATACAAAAAAGTATGCACTCGGTGAAAGGGGTAAATAAAAATTTAAAGGCATAAAAACAATTTTAAAACTATTGTACTCAATTGTTAAGTTTAAATAATCATGTGTAAATAATAGAGTTGAAAGTACAATTTTTTATCTATTTAAAATATCCAGATATTTCTAAGTGAAAAGTAGATCCACTCGTCAATATTATTAAAATAAATTATATAATTAAATTGTAAAGCACATTAGTAAAATATTTCGGTTGAACATGTTTTTAATGCAATTGTATAGAAAATACTTTGATATAGAATATCAAAACAAGTCTTGCAGTTCATATAATTTTGCAGCTACAATTTTTCAAATTATCATTTAATGTTATGCACTTGAGAAATATAATTAGAAAACATTTCATTATATAGTAAAACATATAAAAATAAATATTTAATAACTAATTAAAATATTCTGTCGAATAAAGATATTACGAATAAAAAACTTTAAAACGGATAGTACCTAATATTTAACTTTAATATTCAACATTATTACATACATTTTTTGTGGGCCAATGAAAGTAGGGGTGCGATCACACAACCCGGCACCTTTCAAATGATGCCCTTTATTCACTACTGTAATACTCTAAACCACAATGAGAAAATAACGTTTCAATAAAATAGTGATAAATTTATGTTTGAAAGCAAATGTTGTAATCGGCTAATTATAAATACTTATATAGCATACATCATTTGAAGGATGTAACCGTTATTGAATTATCGTCATATCATAGGGATTTAATATTAAGGTTCTCAATATTTTAATAATTTTATTTTTTTATAAAATTACACATTATATAAGGAACACTAAAGATTACAATTGTAGGACGAAGACTATACATCTTTCTCTATTTTATTTTAGAAAAGGTTATACATTTTAAATTTAAAAAAATATATAAAAACACATTGCAATAAAATGGTGTTACCTAGTTTAAATTTTTATTAGTACGTTTTTGTTATTCTTTGGTCATTTACATAAAAGCGATTGTTTTAAATATTTGATTACAATTATGTTTGCATAATTGAAAACAAGTGATATCATACTTCAAGATTCTAAAAAAAAAAATAGCCACCCTATACTTTTCATTCAGTATGTTTAAAATGTAATGTGTTCCAAAAATGTATTACTTTACTCATACTAAAATCGATTATTTCAAACCTTTAATTTTTAAAATAAAGTGTTTTGCGAATAACACATTTTGTACATTTTTATTTATATAGAACATTTTTCAATTTAAGTAAAATATTAATAATTAATATGAATATAATTATTTAAAATTTTTATAAAATTTCTTTATTTTGCTATAAGGTGTTGGACAGATTAATCCTCAACTGGCTCCGTCGAGTCAAAAGTAACCCGACATCTATATTTTTTCATATAATGATAAGATAGAACTACTATCAACTTCGTTGCATTTGTTCTATCTTAGAATATTTATGTTTACCTCTGTGGTCATATCATAAGATAAAATGTGGCCAGGTTTTAATTGACCCAACAAATCCGACGCAACGTATGCCTTTTTTGTTGAAAATTGGAAAAATTATTTTTTTACGCTATGGATTTAAATATTTATTTATTTTTATCAAATAGTCATGGAACTTTCCACAGCAGTTATCTGAAATGTCTTACGAAAAAAATCAATGTTTTTTATTTATTAAAATTAATTATTAATAAAGTCATCAGTTTAAATTCTTAATTTATCAATCTGTTATATTTTGTGAACTGTTACCATACATTTATCATTGAAATTACAAATTTAACACCAGAATTTGTAACCAGTCTAATTGTTTTCAATATTTTTTACTTATTACCCACTTAAAACCCCATCTCTGGAGTGATAAGGATAATTT